TTCACTCACGATATATATATATATATGCCGAAATAGGTACAGTATACAAAATATTTTTTCATAAAATTTTTAGAACTTTTCGAAAATAAAAGAAAACAGACATCGAATGAAGGAATTAAATAGTTCATTAATGTTATAGGCAGATAGAGCTTTCACCATTTTAAAAGATATCTACACTAAAAGCAATTTGATTATCCTCATTGACTCTTAAAATTTTCGAAGCACGGTACTTTTGCATTCTTTTGCTAGTTAAGGACTCTTTCTAGTTAATCTAAATAGTAACAGAACTACTTAAAACTTGAAAATATGATAGATTAGAGTATTTTAAACGTACCCTCATTTTTTGAGTGAACCACGTAATCCTAAAAAAATAGTAATATGGGTACAATGATGATCAGTTTTCCACTAGTTATATGGAACAGCAATTAAAATAACCTAATAAAACTTGTTAGAAGTAAAAATGTTTGATTCTTTTTGTATGATGTAAAAAAAATATTAGAAAACTCAGTCTGTGCAATTCAACTTATGTTATAATAATTTCTTATTAAGATATTTATAAAAATAATAACGGAAAAACATATTTAAGGTTAATTGTACAACACTGTATCTCAAAGAAACGAAGAGAGAGAGCTAGACAGTTGGAGACACTTTTAACTGCTTAAGACAGAAAGATCCAGGGCAATATTCTTAATGCTCTTTAAGACTATTTTACTTTCTCACCAGTTTTACTGAAATTGTTAATAAATTTTAGGTCTGAAATTCCGCTCACTTGTGTATGTATATTGTGACGCATTTTCCGGGGATTGCGGCTAATGTGTACTATCACTTTTATTTTTATTTTGATGGGGAGTAATATGTAATGGCTTCTGCATAGTGCCATCAGCAGTAACTCGTAGCAGTGTCTTGCAGTTAAAATATGAATACCCTTTTTTATTAACATCACCCACGGAGTCACTACTCAACTGCAGCCGCAGTTAGCGTTACCAAAGGTAGTTAAAAAGAGCAACACAATATTCTCATATTAATTTGATGTATATTAACTTGAATGAACATCTAGACTACAAGTGGAACGGTGTCACACCGTAAAGGCGACGATCCCTAGCGTTGTGGCTTGCTGTTACGAATGCAATTTATTGTAAACTGGGTGTACCTTATAGAGTAACTCACGATAGGGGACTTCATGTGGACTTTATAATATTTAGGTAGGGTCAATTGCGACTACTGCTTATGCACGACACAACACTCAGTACCAACCCTCGGTATTTGCACCTATTGGGATATCTCCGGTCAAATTCTCGTTAGCGTTCTCGTCTACACAATCCGTGTCTGGGGTACTAAGAGTTTGAATAGTTATGTATTGATGCGCTGGTATTTGTATCACCTGGGACTCGATCTTAGCCCTACTCAGTATCCCGTCAGGCGAGAGTCTGTCGATGCCACACCGCGCTGCTTCAGTATCGGCCTCGTGACGAGGTCAAGTATATGTCCTTGTCTTGGTTCGCAAGCGCACTATATGCTATGCAGCCAACTATATACCATGAGCCAGCACATCACTGTAGATTGGCCACCACTGCTGTGCTACCTCTCGGTAAACCGATACACTGGTAGCTGCCGTTCACACACTCATACAGCGCACATAAATTCCAAGGATGCAGGTAAGAAGCACGGGAGGAGAGTCAGACTAAGTCGTACAGTTATTTCTAATGCTGTGTTCTCTGGGTCTTAAACCGGAATTTTGCCCACAGCAGCAAGCCATACAGGAGAGAGAAAACTACCCAAGAGACTCTCACCACTGACTATCGGTGACAAGGGGTCTGTAACGTGTTTGTACATATTGCCAGTTTACCACTTGACAATGTGTCCATGTCTAAGATAAGAAATAAGCTAGTAAATCTACATATATGAGAGAGTATGATTTATAGAAAATATGGAGTTAGGCATTAACTGGTGCCAACCTCATGCCCCGTAAAATGTAAGCCCTAGCTAGGCAGCCTAGTTAGGTCCCAACCCTGCAGCCAGGCAGCTCAGTTAGAATTTTCAATTGGGATATTATTTGTTTCATGAGTGTTTATTCTGAATTCAGATTTGGTATGAGTAACACATGTATTCAACTTATTTTATTTATTAATTTATATTCATACAAAAAAAACATATTAAATAAAGCATTTTTTTATTCAAGTTTTAATACGTAAAATACCCTGTTACACTGAAAATAAGCATCATAGGCAGTGCCATATTTATATCGATTACGGCAACATATTTTGATCACTAGATTGCAGAAGTTAAGAAGATATAACATAACTGTCTGAAATTTTCTTTTGTTCTGAAATTTCACTTCAGTGTGAAACATAAATTTGTTTACGACAACGCTTTTACATAAACTAGCTAAAAAATTTCTCCCAATATTCTTCCCCCATTGTTACGATACATCATCTGACTCATAGACTCCTTTAAAGTAGTTTCTTTTTAATAGAATAATATGATCTTAACCCCCATTTCTTTCCTGAAAGTAGCTCTCGTACTTGCTTTCCAGTATTGCCTTTAAAGTATTTGTCACATTAATTAAAAATAATTTGTTAATCATTACACCCTAGCCTTGTAAGTGGCGTTTTGAATCTTTGAAATAGCTCAAAGTCTCGTATATTGCAATGCAGTAATTTTCGCGTATTATACCCGATCAGAAATCTAAGGTGATTACTGGACGAGTTTGGAAGGCTCTCTGTAGGCTACCGATGGTGGGTCACCGGTGGCAACGTAAGAAAAAATGGTTGATCCAAGGTAGGCTGCCGAAATAACCGAAGTAACTTAGCCTTATTTCATGGAAAAATATATAAATTTTAATGTATATATGTATATACATAAAAGTTTTGTGTTTGGTAAGATTTTCACTATTTCGGCAGCCAACTTCAGACCTACCGTTCGCCCCCTTACGCTGCCACCATAGGCTCACCTTAGGTACTTCAGCAACCGAAAGGGAACCTCCAGTTTTCTCTTCACCCACCCTTCACAAAATAAGTTTATTCCTCCGTCATCTACTTTAATTTTTTTTCCCTAACCCCCTTCGCACCCTTCCCGCCCTTAAAACTCTGCTAACTAAGTGAGCCTATTGTTTTCTATTATATTTCTTATGTCACCCCTCCTCATTTTTGCTATATAGAAGATTTTCTTACCATATTTCAGTAAAATTAAAGTTCTATCATGTTGCATTGAATTTTTTTGTGATTTAAATCGTAGAACCAATCGTACCACCTACCACTAAGTCAACGGCGCTCGTCATATGAATTTACTTACATACACGCTTTTATGCATACTCGACTTCTAACAAATCGTGTTAACAAATGGGATGGATACAAATAACAATGTTATACATAAAAAACAAAAACTTGTGAAAACAAGCTACTTTGGCGAACGGTTTTCTACAGAAATGAGATCATCTTATTCATACAAATAACTGTTAAAAGGATAATAAGAATTGTTTTTAATCGGTTTAGGTGTCATGTCACAAACTTGACCTTGAATTTTTAAATTATTAATAGCTTTTTTTTCTTCACTCACGAAAAAAGATTATTTTAATATTGAATAAATTGTTTGAAATCATCATCTTTTCAGCAATAGTAACTTTTATTTATTGTTATACCGACTAAAAGCAAGTAAAAGTATTCTCCCTTGTTTACAACAATTGAATTTTCGTCTTTTACTTTGCCAAAATTTTTCAAATGTTAATATTTTAGAAAACTACTGTTTTAATTAAGTAACAAAAACTGGGGAGAAACGGAAAAGAGTTTAAAATAATTTAAGAATAGGCCGACTTAACATAATCCTTAAGAACTAAGAACTTTTTTTTTAAACTAATTTTAAATCGTATTAATGGAGCAGAACCTTCTAAAATATTAAAAACCGTTGACGGAATACTTTATAGTGCATTTAAAGATGCTGTATTGCTTCAGGTTAAGTAATCAAAACACGATTCTTAAATTTATAACATTTTTTAAAAAACATGTACTGGTATGCTGCCATGCTAATTAAGAAAGTTTTTTTGCTTGGTTTTAATGTCTGTAGATAGTTGTGGCAAATATTTATAGAAAGAATTTTAACAATTTTTTGATAAAGATTTTAATAAAGATAAAGCAAATGATGCTTTCTTATAGCTGTATTCAATTTATTAAAAATTAACAATAAGAAATCGATGAAATTTTTTTTACAAATGAATGAAGTCATGAAAATAGTGCTGTCAAAATTTAGAGGCATTAGGATTCCTAGGAGCTGAGTAATTAATATTTATATTAGAGCTGAGTAATTCATATTTAGCTTATTTTTTCATGAAGGCTTATGGGCTGTCGTCCTTTTAAGCGCTTTCATCGTAATTACCTCACTTATTAACAATTAACTTTTGGTAAACATTTTATCAATGATAAAAAAATATCTAATGATTGCATTTGGTTTTATTCAACATCTTGAAGATCCTTTTGAGAGAAAAATTAATTGCGAAGTGAGGTAAAAACTACAAAAAGTTAAGTCGTCTCCGGAGGGCAAGAAAGACAGATGACATACCAAACTGTAAAGAGCGTCGCGTCGCATGGACTATATCGAGGGATAGAACCTTCGTAAGTCAATGCACAAAAATAGAATAATAATGAGATACGAAAATTTTAAGGTGATTTAAAATTCATCCCTGGTCTAGAGTCTTAAGAACTTAAAACATTTAAGTACATAGGCATCCTTAGAAGATTTGCGGAGGTAGAGATTTAACGTTTCTTAAGATGTAGAACGTTGTGAGTCACTAAACTCTATGAACTAAGTGTGTCTTGTTTTGATATTCATTATATTAAAGTGTCTTCACATAAATATAAACAATAACAGTCAAGGAAATAAAGAAAACAATATTATAGATTTTTGTAAATTAAGGTAAGTGAAGGTCAAAAATGATCTGAATATTTTTAGATCTTTATGCATCACACTTTCTTATGTGACGACGGTGACGTAATCTATTATAATACTATGATGTTAAGGATAGTGTTTGCATTCCACACGATTACTTATTTGTTTTCTCTTTTTTTCTTTAAATTTTTAATGAGTTCAATCATTTGTAATAAGTTTTTGTCAATAAATATTCTTATTAACTAATACAATCAACACGTTGTATTATATCCATTGATCATGTAAGAAGTGTAAATAAAATAACATCATTTTTACCTAGAGGATATTTCTAGGAATTACGCTCCTGGTTCTTTCTTGTCTTTTTAATAATATTGTTAAAGAATTACAAGAAATTTAAAAGAAGTTGGATGTAATTTTTATTGTTGTGATAAATAACGACAGAAGCTGGAAAAATAATAAAAACTTTTTTTTTGTTTTCTAATAACAACTAATAGGAATTTATTTATTAAAAAGTTATTTTCTTTTTATTTTCCAGAAATCAATGAAAGTTAAAATCAAACATTATTTATAATAACGAATATTTAACGTTGACGCGTTCAAACTTACCTGCAATCAACTGCTCGACAAAATATAATTTCTTGCACTCTATCAAGAGGATTGCCAGAACTTTCTGAACCGGTTTCACCTGGCAATTCATTTTTTCTGTGAAAAGATCGTCAAAATCTATGCTTTTTAGCAAGAATCATCATAATCCTGATCAGCCCAGTAAATAACTTAAATTTGCATTGCAAAATCAGGGTTGCCGGAACTTTCGCAACCGTTTCTGCCTGGCAACCCATTTTTTTCGTGAAAAGGTTATCAAAATTTATAATTTTGTGCAAGAGCCATAAATATTGTGGTGAGCCAAGCAAATAATTTAAATTTTTATTGTAACATTTTCTTCTTATTTGTTTTTGCAACCGGTCTCATAAGGGTACCACGGTGCATTGTTATTTCCTGAATGAATGGTGTCTTACAACCAAGTTTCATTTTGCTTTTATATGAGCAAAGTGTTTTTACGGTCAGCTCCCAGACTATGTATACTTTTACTTTATTTAGAGATATGGCTGAAGGTAGTTATTTAAAATTCTGAATAGGGTTTATTGGGTTATCTGATTATTAGATTTTTAAATTGTAAAGGGCAGAAGGAGGCTATCCAAAATTGTGTGGTGGCTGAGTAGTTGTGAGGGGTTGGAGGGGGGTTCAACAACAATTCAACACAATAAAAATAACGTAAAAACTGATGAAACTTTACTTTATTCAAAGGGGCGTGACGGGTGGGTGGATGGGAGGATGTGTGCAGTGACCTTCTAAAATCTGTATGTAACGTAGAAAGATACACGAATAATTAATTTTCCCGACTATAATGATCACATATAGCTTGTGTTAACGTCGATAAGCTTACATTTCACAAGGTGTGTTTATTTAATTTCGTATCATATTGTGTGATCATTCGTTGATTTTTTTTATAACTTTTTTTAAATTTGTGATTATGCAATTACTGTTATGCATAATAAGGGTTCAGGTCTTACTGCTTTTGAACTTACGAACTGATTATTCATGTTATTTAAGGGATCATTTTATTGGTATTTGTACTAACATTTTTAAGTATGAAGAATTTTTTCTTTAATTTTCATTCATATTTTATATGTCGGCCATGTATTTGTTATTAAATTTGATACTTGTCGTTAATTTTATGATACATATTGTTATTGCTTCAAGTACTTTTGTTGTTATCGTAATTTAGCTGCCACCGCTATCGATATTCGTTCTTCGTTGCCTACTCTCCTCTTTATCATTTGCCGTTTTTGACTCGTCTCTGTTTTCTTGTTCCTGTACACAGTCGTGTGGCTCCATTTTTGTGCTTTCGCTGTTGATAGGCTTTTTTCTATTAGTTGATGTATGTTGTTCAGATCTCCATCTTTATTTTGCTATTTACGTTAATGAGTTGCTTAAAAT